TAAATAACGAGGCAGGAACAGGCATCTGTTTGTTCACAACGGCATTTAAATCTCCAATTAGGCACTACATGTACTTTTCTTGCCAGGTTGCCAAAAACTTGTTAAAAATTTTATTAATGTGAGAAGAGGCAGCTGTGCTTCCTTGCGGACAGCAGCGCCGAGCCTCCCTCCTGAGCTGCTGCCCCTTGCCCTCTGCCCCGCGGCGGCCTGGGCCCTGGGACCGCCAGCCCCTCTGCTCCAGGCCGTTTTACACCGACTGGTCCCAGTTCTCCCTGGCAGGAGTTGCAGGTCTGGGGGCCTCACACATCCTGGAAAAGCAGCTGTTTTCCATGTTCCCATCTGGATTCTGCCCGGCCTGTGCCCAGACAATGCCGGGAAGACGTGCTCCTCCTGGGCTCGGCTGTCTGGGTGGCCACACTTGCCTGAACCAAACATTTTTCCTTCTGGAAACAACAGTTGCCCTTGAGTGCCAGGTAGAAGCAGGCTGGGTGTGGGGGTACCCAGCCAGAGCGCTGAGCCTTCCTTAGGCCACAGACACCCTGGGCCTCAGGTCAAGGGCCACTTGCTCTGGGTGCCACCCCCACGTCCCCTCCCAGGGCACCTGGCTCAGGCCTTGGGCTGCCCTGGGCTCCCACCCTGCCTGGTTCTGGCCCTGCCCAGTTCCCTTGCCCTCACCCTCCTCACCATCACCAGCCGTCCCTCAGGTACCCAGGAACCCAGGTGCCAGCTGTCTAGGGTGCAGACGGTGTCCAGCAACTTCTGCTTCCCCCGCATCCCACCCCCACCCCTCCCCTGGCATCTGCATGTGCCGAAGGCCCTTCCTCCCCAACAGCCAGCACCCTGACACCAGTACGTTCTCTTGATGTGATGAGAGGATGAACCTCAGTGGAGGACACCTGGCATGGGGGCCATGCGGAAAGTAGGGAGTCAGGGGTCCTGCCCCAGCACCTTGGTCTCTGACCTTCCGGACTGTGGGCCAGCAGTGAGGGCCCTGCCCACGTCGAGGCGGGGCTGGGTGGGCGTGGCCCTGGGGTGGGCACAGCCTCCCTCCCACTCACTGTTTTCTCGGTCAGCCCTGTGGGGGCTGCACACCCTGTGATATTACTGGTAGAGCTGCTTTCGTCCAACTTGGGGCAGCTGAGGCTGGCTGAGCCTCCCCACCACGTGGGGGCACTTGGCCAAGCCCCCTCTTCCAAACCCCACAGGGGGCTGTACCCTTGTCCCCGCTTGGCAGGTGAGGGTCACAGGTGGCTTGGGCCCGACCCTCATCTGCACCCTGAGTTCCCTAAGCCTACTTCTGGCAGCCTCGGCTATCCCTGCAACTGCGAGCAGAGCCTGGCCCAGCTCAGGTGGACGGGCTGGAGTGTGAGCCAGCCGTGGGGGCCAGGAGGGCCCCGTGTCAGCACGCAGGTGACCCTTAACGTGGCCAGCATGCAGGGTGAGGGTGGGGGTGCCAGGCCTGGTGTGCAGTCTCTGTTCCATTACCACATGCCCGCGAGAGTTTAGGGCCCTCCAGATGAGTCAGGGCTGAGTGGCCAGTGGGAAAACCAGAAGAGTTTACGCCACTCACTGCCCGAGCAGGTCACTCATGAATGACACGTGCATTTCACAAGGCCCCGAGCCCACGCGCCTGTGAGCCCAACCAGGAGGCTGGGCCTGGGTTCCTGCCAGAGCAGAGAAGCTCATGGACTCCTTGCTGAGCACCCGGAGAGCCTCCTGTTTGTGTAGTGCAGACTCGACTTGGCACCGGCCCAAGTCAGCTTGTTTTCTTACTGTCAGGTTCAGATTCTGGAGATGCCATCCAAGACGTCAGTGTGCTCCCTGAAGCTTGAGGCTGAGGCCAGGCCGGGCATGCCCATGTGCCTGCAGCTCTGGCAGGTAAGGCCCAGCGCCCGCCGGCCACGCCTGCCCGCCACGCCCACCGACCGTGAATCATGCCTGTCAGGGACTGGCTCTCTGTCACCGCCAGGTGGTTGACCCATGGGAGGCATTTACACACTGTCCTTCGCAGCCTGGCTGGCCTGTGGCCCCTGCGCCCTCCTGCTGCTGCCAGGGAGCCCTGCAGACCCCATAGGGACACCCAGCTTGTCACTGTCGCCATCCGCATCCCTGTCCTCATCCCCAACCCCACCCCTGAGCCCGTCCTTGTCCCCGTCCTGTCCCTGTGTCCCTGTCCCTGTGTCCCCACCCCCGACCCCATCCTTGTTCCCAACCCTGTCTTCGTCTCTGTCCCCGTGTCCACGTCCTCATCCCTATCAGCATATTAAGCCCACTCCTGCCTCTATGAGGCAAAGAAGTAACAAAATTAATCCCAGAAAAGCAGGGTGGTGCAGGCCTGCAGGGTTAGTCAACACTCCCCTCCCGGACCTACATGGCCCTCCCTGGATGAGGGGGGGCGCTGTTCCTCATCACCCGGCAACCCATGGAGCCTGCAGGGGCTGGGACGAGGACGGGCCTCCCGAGAGCCGCCCTGGGCTGCCCGGGACCAGGAGGGGGCCGTTCTTGCCTCTGCTCTAGCTTCCATGCGCTGGACAGAGGAGCTCAGCATTTGGAGATGCAGGATCCACGGGCCGGGACCCCAGGTGCCCTGCCCCAGCTCGTCCCTCCAGGGCACTGCCCTTTCTTGCAGTTGGTTTCCCTGCAGTTTTAACTGACGGAAGCCCCTGGGGTTAAGGAGGTGGGGGCTCCAGGCTCACCTGAGTGACAGAGCTGCTGGTGCCAGCGGGTTGGTGGCGGGCGCGTGCTGGGAACACCGAAGGCTGCAGGTCTGGGGCGGGACATCTCTGCCTCCGCTCACTCTCTGCTTCCTGGAAACAATCATTGCCTAATCGTGTAAGATTCTAAGGAAGATGTGTAGAAACGGGATGTGCAACCTGGTTGTGGTAATTGACGCGGCTGAGGGTAGGACAGCTGTGTTGTCAGCAGACGCGGCTCCAGAGCAGAGCAGCCTATTGAAGGAAGGCAATGTTGATCTGACACGTCCTTTTTCCCCCTCAACCTGAAGGTCCAGGTTGTCACTCATTGTCTGGCTGTATTAATCAGGCAGAGGGGCCTGACCTGGGGTTTCTTTCTGCAACATCCAGATGACTCCTTATCTGCGCCTCAGAGCAGCTGACCTGCGTGGCGAGGACAGTCGTCAGCGTGGGTGGTCAGGCCTCGGAGCCCCCCCCCAGGGGTCTCTGAGCTGAGGGCTCCCTGGGAACCTCGAGGTGCTGCGGGGCACGGCCTGCCTGCTGGGTCCCCCAGGCGACGGGTCCTCACGTCAACCTCGCCCGTGGAGGTCAGCCTGGCATTGAGGGCATGGCCTTCAGAGGCTTGAGGCTGTGGGCAGGGCCTGTCTCTGGGGGCCACAGGGGTCCTGTGTGCCGGGAGAGAGGCCTGGGGGGAGCTGCAGCACAACGCCAGCAGGGGGGACCTCAGCACTTGGGACCCTCGGCAACCGCAGGGCAAGCTCCCAAGGCTGGGCTGGCTCCTGCTCTGGCTGCCCCGTGGTGCCTGGACCTGCAGTAGCCTAGGTGCTCAGGACCCCCAGATCACAGACCTTGAGGGGGGTTGGGCTGCAGAGACTGACCAGAACCTGTGTGTCAGTGATGGGGGGAGCCCGGGCGTGGGAGGAACATGTGTGGTGGGGGCCGGAGTGCAGGCTGGGCTGAGGTGACGAGGGTGGGAGGACAGAGTAGTGCCCCGGGGGACCCAAGTAGGCCGGTCTTCAGAGTCCCCCGTCTCTGCATTTCCTCCCAGTGCCCTCGGATGGGTCTGCAGTCCTGGTCTGGGGCGCAGGCCATGCATTTGGACTGTGCTGACCTGCCCTCACCCTGCCTTGGCTTCCGGGGGGGCCTGTCTGCAGAGGCATGGCTGCCTGAGCAGAGGGCCTGACCACCCCTTACAACACAGCAGACGTCTGTGGGGAAAGTGGTGTGAATCATGCCAGCCACCCAGGTGGTCACCGTTGGGCTACCTGAAAGGTGGGGGGGGGGGCTCTTCACTGTCGGGGAAGTGCTGGCAAGCACCGGCTCCCAGGGCTGCTGCAGGGAGGTGGGTGGAGGTGGTGATCAGTGCACTGCCCCTCGAGGTCCATGGTTGTGGGGCCACTCACCCAGTAGGGCCTGTGGGGGCTGCAGCCTGCAGGGGGCCCCAAGGAGGCACCTCAAGCACCACATACAGCCACTACACTTCCTTGGGTTGAGGGTGCAGTGTCCACACATGTTAGACACACACGGTGCCTTCTGGCGAAACCAGGTTGCCTTGCCCAGCTGAGTGAGGGCTCTCGCAGAGAGCTGCTGTGTATGCATGTGTGGCACCTGGGCCCCCAGCGCCTCTGGGCAGGCGGAACCCCATACCCACGTTCGCTGCCCCAGCAGCAGGTGGGGAGGCCCAGCCTTACCCACCAGCAGTGGATTCTCCTCAGAGGGCAGGTGACCCAAGAGGGAGGCTGCCTCACTGACCAGCCCCAGGCCCCAGGCTCAGCACTGGCCTCACTGAGGGAAGTGCGCTGTGAGGAGGTGTGCTTGGAGTTTCTGAGCCCCGGGAGCTCCGTGGGGGAGGCAGAGGCCAGTGGAGAGGAAGAGACATTGCTGGGACTGGGTACCTGGCAGGGCCGCCACTCGATCGGTGCCAGGGCGACCCGGGGTCCCCACGCTCCCCCGCAGGCGCCACAGAGCCCTCTGACCTGCGGCCTCATCCATCACGCGGCTGGGCCAGTGGAGTGTGCACCGTCAGCGCCGGCACTCTCCAGGCTTGGCGGTCGGGGGGCTTCCGCAGCGACCTTGACAAAGTACAGAAGGCTCATTTTTCACTGAGAGGAGTTTGAGGCTTTCTTTGGCCGGCAGTTCATACAGGTGACCGGCCCCACCCAGGGGTGGCTGAGTCGTCTGGCAGGAAGGACGGGGGCCAGCAAGGGTGGTGCAGCAAGTGCTCTCTGTCCGGGTCCCTGGGCACCCCCCAGCCAAGGCTGGCCTGAGCCCCTGCCCCCCACGGCTGACTGCATGCTGTCCCTGCAGGCTGACTCCAGTCCCCTCCCACTCCTCCTGGCTGGCTATGAGGACGGCTCGGTGGCCCTGTGGGATGTCTCTGCACGGAAGGTGTGCAGCCGTGTCGCCTGCCATGAGGAGCCCGTCATGGGCCTGGACTTCGACTCCCAGAAGGCCAGGGGTGTCTCGGGCTCTGCAGAAAAGGCACTGGCCGTCTGGAGCCTGGATGAGCAGCGAGCCTTGCAGGTCAGTGGGCCAGACTGAGGTGTCATTTATCCTGCTCTGCACTAACAGTCTGATGGGCTGAAACAATATTTAGGCATGAAGAGGAGCCGGTGCAGACCCTGGGCTAATTAATCACCGGGAGCCGGCGGGCGGGCTGGGCGTTTGTGAGCTGCTCATGTGGTGTGGGTTTCTCTTAGACCTCGGGGAACAGCGGTCACGTCTCGTCCATCTAGAGAAAAGGCATGTAGAATCCAGGACCATGCAAGCGCGTTTGCAAAACTCAGAGGAATTTGGTCAGTAAGGAACTGATTAATCAAAAAGAAGAAAAAAAAATACCCAAAACCCGATGTAGGGAAGTCCACGGAGTCAGGCCTCTGTAGCCGCCCGCAGGCCGCCCAGGGAGGCAGGGAGGGGCGGGGCTCGGGCAGAGTGGGCGCTGTGGGCGCCTTCGCGGCACGTCTGTGCACGCCGCCCCATCCCATGGGGCCCGCAGGGACCCTGGGGCCATGTCTGGACCTGTGTTCGGGGCTCAGCCTGGCTGGGGTGGGGCGACGGAGTTGGTGGACGGCAGCCCCTTGTCCAAACCCCACTCTGGTGCAGATCCTAGGGGATGCAGTGCTGGTGTGTCCTGTCCCTGTCAGACCCCAGAGGGCAGCCTGGGTGCACCCTAGCTTTTAGGGAGGAGAGGAGCCCCCATTAGCCAGGTAGCCTCTGGAGGCTGAGACCTGACCACAGCCAGTGAAAGGAACTTCCTTGAAAGGCAGCTCTGTGAACACAGGTATGGTAGGGGAGCAGGGCCCCAGGTAGAAGCTTGTGGCCCTGCTCCTGGCCCCACCTGGGCTCTTGTCCCTGGAGCACTGGAGGACCGGGTCTGTAGGGGGGTCCCCTGCAGTCCAGGCTGTGCTGCAGACAGGTGGCTGCAGGGAGAGGGCATCTCTTGGGCCCCCCCATATGGGGAGGCCTTGCCCAGCCCTGGGCCCCCACAGCCAGGGAGGAGTCTCTGGGCACTTGGGTGGGGTGGGGGAGGGGGCATGGGTGAGGATCAGGACAGGCTGCAATGCTCAGCAGGCATCGCCAGCCTGGGCACCGGACAGCCGGGGCAGGGCTGTCACCGGCGGGCGAGAAGTCCTGGGAGACCAGGACAAACATTGCAGTCATGCAGGGAGACCTCTCACTCGGCAGCTGGAGGGGCTGCTGGCTTCCTAAAACACACAGTCAGTGGGGGGACCAAGCTAGAACCAGCGCAAGTGGGTGGGGCCCTGAGGTGGGAGCAGCCCTGTGGGGTCTGGGGAGGGGGAGGGGGCACGGGAGGGAGAGGCCCCCCTCAGCAGCACACGACCCAGGAGGTGATCCAGGAGGCACTGCTCCTCCCACCGCCCCCTGCTAGAGACATCCACGCCCCCAGAGACCCTGACAGACACCTTCAGGTGGTGGAGCACTGGCCTCAAGGAGGAAGCCTCGGGGCCTTGACGCCCTCGGCATTTGCAGTGTCCAAGACGGCCTCGCCCATGGGCCCTTGGTGCTGCGGTGGCCCTGCAGGCTGGCCCTGGAACCACGTGGGTGAAGGTGTGCCTCACCTCACAGCCTGCTGCTCTAAGGAGCCCAAATCAATCTCCGGGCGGGCGGGCGGAGACGGGCTCCTGAGCAGAGCGTGGGTAATGGGAACCAGATGGGCCGCCGCGTGCGCATTCTTGGCACCTGATGTCATGCGCTGTGAGAGCCACTGGTGCCGGGACCCCTCCCGGAGGGTCCTGGTCCAAGACAGGCTCAGCCAGGGGCTGCAGTGGTGACCGGAGCCTTTGGCCACCGTCCTGGGGTGAACACTGGGCTGCTCACCTGCCTACGGAGATGGCTTCCCTGGAGCCCGGGGCTTGGGCGCGTCTCTGTCAGGCGCAGGTGGTGTGCAGACCTGCTTCTCCCTCCCACACTTGGGGCAGGGTCCATGGCCTTGAACCAGGGCTGTTTTACAGCCAGCAGTGTTTTTAAGCCTTTGAATAATAATGGGCCCCCACCCCAGCCAGCCTAGGCTGGGAGTCGGACAACCACACTATCCCCACCACACTCCTAGTCGGCCGAGCGTCCCCTCGTTCCCGCTGCGTGGCTACTGCCATCCCCTCGCTGGCCCTCCCGGGGGCCTCCCTCTAAAGTGTCAGCAGCAGGACACGGGTCCAGTGAGAGGGAGACCACGGGACTCTGGGCTGAGGAGCTGTGGGCATGACCCACCCACTGGACTTCTCAGGACATGGTGGAAGGGCAGCAGCCATGGCCATGAATGGGCACTGACCAGCCCAGGTCCCCATGACAGGCCTTGTGCCTTGATGCCACAGCACTTCCGGGAGGGGCTGCAAGGTGGGAGCACGTGAGTCCCATCCTCTGTCCTCGTGGGTGGTACTGGGCATCTCTGCCCTGTGCCCGAGTTGGCCACGTGAGGACCACGGCTCGGGCTCCACTGAAGCTCGCGCACGGTTCCTGGGGCCCCCGGCGCTCATCTGCAGACTGCAGGTTTGGAAGCAGCCCTTGTCTCCCTGGGAGACGTCCCCACGGTTAACACCCAGTGAGAGTTGAGGGCTGTGGGCTGTTCCTGTGACCTGACCCTGGGCCCAGACTCTGCCGGGAGAGGGCAGTCGAAGGCTGGCAGAGAGCACAGGACACGCGGGGCCGCTGGCGGCCACAGTGGACGTTGGAGGAGGAGGGCCGGGTGCTGAACAGCGGTGGCTGGAAGGGCAGGAGGTTGGGCATGAGATGCGGGGCAGGCATGGAGGTGGCTGGACAGGTTGCTGCTGCGGATGCTGCCCACATGCGGGTCACACTGACCTTCCTCAGTTTTTTGTGATGACCGTTTGGATTTCTGTGTCTGCAGGCTGGTCCCTTTTTGCTCCTGAGCAGCCTGTGTTTGTTATCTGTAAGCATCCCTTTCTGTTGCACCATTTCCCTCCATCTTCCTCTCCCTCTGCCGAGTCTCTTGGCCTCCATATGCTGCTCTGACCCGGTGGGGCATGTGCAGCAGCGAAGGCTGGCTGCATCTGGGACCCTTCCTCACACTCAGTTCCGGGCAGCCCTGGTTCAGTCTGTTCTCTGACTGCAGAGCTGATTAGAGTGTTTGTGTTTCCAAATGTTTGATTCTGCCCGCATTACTTTCTACTTCTCAGTTTCTCACTTGATCCTCTGCGTTTGGGGAATGAGTTCTGAGTGGTGTCCGCTCTCTGAAGTGTGGAAGCCAGGAGGCTTTCCAAAGTGTCCCGCGTGTTTCTCAGTGCCCAGCGCACGGCTGCAGCCGCCTGGGTCCCGGGCCCCGGGGACACCCATGCCTTTCCCGTGTCCCACGTGCTCCCGGTCTCTGTGCGTGGACGCTGGGTGGGAATGTCTCTTCCCAGGGAATTGAACCCTTGTCTCTGGAAAGGATTTTTGCCTAAAAAGTCTGTCCTGGCAACGATTCAGGAGGCTCAGGCCAAGCTTCTCCTGGTTTTGTGCCTTTTATTTTTCCCTCTTTAGCCTTCAGTCTCCTTCTCAGGCCAGCGTCCCTCTCCCAGAGGTGGCTTCCACGTGACCTCGGCTCACGCTACTGTTTTGCTGGTGAACGCTGCCCGGGGCTGCCTCCTGCAGCCAGACAGCGGGCTCTGCGTGGCCACGGGGCCCACTGCTGGCGTCCCTCCTGGTTTGTGCAGCATCCCTGGGCCCATCCCACAAGCGTCCATTTTTGTATCTTCGTTTTCCCTTGTGATTTCTCCTTTGATCCGGTGCTTCCTTAGAAATCCACTACTTAATTCCCGCGCATTTGTTGATTTTGTAGAGGTTGCTGATCTCAGCTCTGCTGTCAGGGCTGGCGGTCCGGCAAGGCCACGTCAGGCCTGGCCCTGCTGTCCGTGGACGGGCTCTCAGCTGCCGGACCGGGGCTGTCGGTCTGCGAGGGCGGGTCCCAGCGTCCTTTCCCGTCGGTCAGCCTCGTGCTTCATCCGGACTGAGCAGCTTCAGGAACTTGGTTGCCCTGACCCTGGGAACGCAGCACTCAGGTGTCCCCACTGTGTCCCGCTGGGCGGCCCCGCCAGTTGGCCTTTCCATGCTGTGTCTGCACACGAGGCTGTGTCTGCACATGGGGCTGTCCTGGTGCCCGCCCCCTCTGTTACCTCACAGGAGGCTTCCGTCTTTGCAGCTGACCTGTAGGTTAGTTTCTGTGCTGGCGTCAGTTCGGCCTTGGGGGTTTCTACGTGTGTGGATGCCCCGGTGCTCCAGCACCGTTTGTTGGAGAGACTCTTTGCTCCTGTGTCAGAGATGGTGTACACAGGGGCCTGTTTCCGGGCTGTCTGTCCGTCGCCGATGCCCAGCGCCTTCATTCCTCTGACTTCCTAGCACGTCTCGGAGTCAGTGTTGACGTCCGTCCGGACTCGACTTTTCTCCTTCCACATTCAGTTGACTGTTTAGGGTCTGTGCTTTTTTATAATTTCCATTTCTCTGCTCGTAGCTCCTATATGTTCCCTCATCACGACAATGTTTTGGTCATTATTTGAACGTTTCTTTTCATTGTCTGGAAGGGACGTTTAACTGCTGCTGCAAAGTCCTGGTCCGACAGGCTCTGCACCTGTGCCATTCTGGGCCCCTTGCTGTTGCTGCTCTTCCCTTGACGACAGGTCCTCTCCTCCCACTTCTCCGCGTGCCTGGTAACTTTTGTTTGTGTGAACGACACAAGGTGGAGAGGGTTCTGTTGATCGGCTCTGCAGAGGGATCTCTCTTGTTCCCATGGGCTGTTCACCTGCTTTGTCGGGGCAGCTGGGGGCCCAGGGTCCTCCCCCGGCTCCTGTGATGGGGTGGGACGCTCTTTCCAAACTCTGCCTGCCCTTCAGGCTTGTGAGGCCTGGTCTCCAGCTTTGTCACGGTGGTGAGAGTAGACCCCAGCCACAGTGTGATCACTCTCTTGGGGCGTGGCCACGTGTGCTCCAGGAAGAGCTTCTGGGATGCTTCCCTGATTTCTTATGTGTTCAGAAATGCTGGTCTGTTGTTCTCAGACCTGAGCGACAGTTTGGCTGGATATAAAATTTCTGGGCCTCCCCCGAGCCTTGTGGGCGTCATCTCCCACCTGGCACAGACTTGGCCACGGGACATCAGCCCAACCCTTGCCCTGGTGCTTGACTCCATCTGGTTGCCTGGCTCCTGGGAGCACGTCTTCTGCTTGGAGTCCAGCAATGTTACTAAGCACACCTTCCCTCTGACCGTTCCAGAGCCTGGATCCACAGCTTCAGTTTCCAGGAGCGAGAGTTGACTCCCTAATTCAGTGAAGGTCTTCCAGTTGCCACGGCTGTTTCTGGGTGCTTTGCTCACTTTGGGTCACTCTTGCCTTTGCTGTCTTGTCTGATCCCCCACGTCTTGAGTGTTTCCTCCACTTCCCTTAGCAGCGCGCTGCCCCACAGTCAGGCTGCCCGCTATGTGTCTGCCCTTCAGTTCTAGTTGTATGGACGTAGTTGATTCACCAACTTTTTTTTTTTGCTGATGTATGGCAAAAGTGCCCGGTGAGTGTCCTGTTGCTTCCAAGAACAGCGACCCTCTTTTTCCCCACATCTCTTTCTTCCTGTTCTCTTGCGTTGTCTTTGTAGACGCGAACGACTCTCCCTAGAGGCAGCCGTGTTACCAGCCTGGGTTATTGGACCCTTTAATCAATAGAAGCTGATGAGCGGCTGGACGAGACATGCATGGAGGCTTCACTGGGACTTGTGCTGCAGCAGAGGGACCTTGCTCGGTCCCGAGGAGGGAGCTGCTCCCTTAAATGGGGTGGGGGTGGGGGCAGATCAGGGGTCTGGCCACCCCCTCGGTGGGGCCGTGGGCAGGGACCGTGCACAGGACCTGCCTCTGGTCCTCGCACCCAGAGGTGGCACTTACGTTTTGGCCTCTGTGTATCCGCTCACAATTTGGCCCAGCTGTGCGTGTGTGCAGTTATCTTTAGTCCCTTATGGTCCCTTTGTGCTGTGTTGTCCTGGTGTAAGCACTGCAGCCCAGGGTCCCAGGTGCCACCTGTCTCACTATGGCCCCATCAGGAGGTGAATTTGGAGAGAAAGGGGAGTTTCTGCAGGCTCACAGGCGACTTTGGGGCAGAAGAGCTCCTGGTGCCTGGGGCTGGGCCGAGGCAGGAAGGGTGGAAGGACGTGGCCAGTTGGGTTGTCGTGATGAAGGGGCAGAGGTGCCAAGTGGCCCCCGTGGCACACACAGTCCTGGAACCAAGAGTGGCCGGACCAGAGGGGCTGCGGGAAGGCGTGTGGGGAGGCCCAGCCCCGCTGAGAGCTCATGTGGACAGATGTGCCTGCAGTGCCCTGTGACATGGCCCTGCCCCTCTCAGAACCTGGCCCAGGCCTCCTGTGGCCAGTCGCCCGCCCACTCCTGCGTGTCCCACCCTGGGCAGCCTTCACTGTCACTCCCACCTATGCTGCCGGTGGGGTCTGCATCCTCTTACCCGCCTTGGCTGTGCTGAGATTTCTGCACCGACTTCGTGCTGCTGTGCCGCCTGGACGCCGGGGGGCAGTATTTCCATGGGGTGGGTCCCAGGACCCTGCCCATGAGGTCTTTCCTATCTCAGCCTAAGGGTCTGGCCAAGGGCAGAGGTCTCTGGCTCCAGACAGCCTGTCCTGGGAAGCCCCCTAACGATCCTCCCCACCACTCTCTCGATCACAGGTGCACAGAACTCACCAGCTCACCAACCCTGGGGTCGCCGACGTCAGGATCCGGCCAGACCGTAGGCTCCTGGCCACCGCGGGCTGGGACCATCGCATCCGTGTGTTTCACTGGCGGACGATGAAGCCGCTGGCCGTGCTGGCCTTCCACAGCGCCGCTGTTCACTGCCTGGCCTTCGCCACGGATGGCCTGCTGGCCGCGGGCTCCGGGGATCAGCGCATCAGTGTGTGGTCGCTCTACCCGCGCATGTGACATGCTGACAGCAGGGAGGTGGGTGCGCAGATCACGAGGGCTCCATTATGGGAAGAGCCAACATCCTTCTGGCTTGACACTTGCTTCTTTGGGTATGGGACAGTGACTGCGATTTAAAGTGTAACTGGGCTGGACACCAGGCACCTGTAGCCCAGGTCAAAGGCCGACTGGGGGCGCCTGACAATAAACTCTGTTTGCAAACCTGCAGGCTTGAGGTACGAATTCTCCAGGGTGACCCCCTGGTTCCCTTGGGGTCAGAGCCCAGAGCCATCCTCAGAACCTCCACTAGGTAGGGTGGTCGGGCCCTCCAGCAAGGACACTAGGCATGGTGCCCAGGTCCTGGGCTCCCCACCCCAAGGATGGCCAGGAGCTCCTGTATCACAGGGCTGGGGGTGGCAGATGCCAACAGGCTTGGGGCTGAGCTGGATCAGTGGGAGGGAGGAGGTGCTGCCCCCCAGAGTGAAGTCAGGGGACACAAGAGGCCATCCCAGGGCAGCTTCTGGGCATAAAGCACCAGCTCAAGGGAGACTGGTGGGCACCCAAGGGCACCATCACAACCACACATGGGGCAGCCGCTGGCTCCTATGTGGGGCCAGGCCAGAAGTCAGGGCAGCTACTCTTAAAGCTGGGCTGTTGATAGGAAGGAGGGGACCCTGGAAGTTGACATGGGGGCTGTGGGGGGCCCCTGACGAGGCTGGGAGAGCCCCCAGGTGCCCTGCCTGAAGTCAGCCCCTCTCAGGCCGGAGGACCCTGTGGGATGCTCAGGATCCCACCCCGCTTTGCCTGAGGGAGTGGAGCCCTCAGTGTGTGTGCCCCAGGAGGGCTGCTGCTCCCCAGGGAATCTGGGTTACACGTGCGTGTCTGAGTGGCAAGATATTGAATCCACTGGAGCAGTCCCCCTGCTGGAGGGTCTGGCCTCTAGGTCCTGCTCGGGGGTGACGGGCTCTGAGGTTTGGTTGGTTGATTGAAGCAGGGGCCACGGGCTGGGACCCCAGTGCGATTGACATGCCAGCACCGTGTGTTGCTGAGAGGGTGCAGTCTGGGTGGGGGTGCTGGAAGGACTTACCCCGCAACGCCAGCTCGTCCTCTGCAGGGGCTCCAGGGGACATGCCTTCCCCGCAGCTGCAAGGGGCACCCACATCCTTGGAAAGCTCTGTGATCACTCTTCCCTGAAGGTCGGAAGCTTCACTGGGAACAGGGAACCCGGGCTAGCAGGACCTCATGGTGGACAGTGGGGTCCAGGGCTGTAGGTGTGGGCTAGTGACCCTGTATCCTAGGAAAGGGGCTGACTGGCGGCTGCTGAGCCCTGGCTGGTCCATGTGCACGGAACAGGCGTCTGACCCCGGCCACCCAGACAGGCAGGTATCTGCCCCTCGGTCAGACCCCGGCATCCGCCGTGTGAGCTGTTATCGCCTGAGCTCCCCACAGCCCCTTCCCTCCCCGGGGGCTGTGCGCTGTCCCGGCAGACAGACAGACCTTACTGCTGGCCTGCTGGACAGAGGTCCTGCTGGGTGTCCTCCATCACCTCTAGGAAGGGCCATGCCAGCCCCTGTGTGTTCTATACCCATGGCCAGGCCACCAGGATGTGGGGGAACATCACTAGTGTCAGAAAGGAGGGCAGCTCTGTTTAGGCAGCAGCAGCTGGAACCTCGTCAGACATAGACAAGGAGGCGTGTGCGGGGTGTCTTCCGGGCACCACATTCCACTCAGGACACCGCCCTCCACTTTCTCCATGTGAGGTGCCGTTTGCTGACATGCTGGAGGCCATGCTCATCTCCGGAGGAAGACCTGCCCAACCTGCCCCACTGGGCTCCCACATGTGCCCCCGACCCCCAGCAAAGCGTGATGTCCTGGCCAGCGTCCCTCTGTGGGAGCCTGTCCTGGAGACGGGACCAGAGGTGACGGCAGCCACAGCAGCTGCTAAACTGCAAGGGACTCTGTCTCAGAACCTGCCTGGCTTCACTGTAGCACAGCCATGAACCGCAGGGAGACTGGTGCCGACGTCCATCCTCACTGCTGCTCTCCGGAGGGGGCTGCTTGGCAGGGAAGGGGGCTGAGCCCCGTCAGTCCTTCTGCAGGTCCTTCCGCAGCTGTGGCCCTGAGCCACCAGGCGCCAGGCAGTGCCCTGGCTGAGGATGGGGTACCCCTGCCCGTTTGTGTCTGTGTGGTCAGCTTGGCTGTCCTTTGGCAGAATCACTGAATTTATAAAAGCAGCCATGGAAGCGTGCGCCTGGGATGAGGGACAGGGCAGCACAAGAGCGTGAGGAGCATGAGGGCCAGTGATGCCCCAGAGAGTGGGGGCTGCTGCGTCTCTTCTCCAAGGATGACCAGCACTCCAGCAGACTTGGACGCAGACTGGAGTCGTCTGGATCTGGCCCCACCTGTGTCAGAGGCACCCACAGGGCTGACCCCGTGCTGGGCTCTGGGCTTCCGCCAAGGCCACGTGCTGTGGCCGGTGTCCCGGGGTGCCTTGTGGCCGAATCTCCGTGTGTGGGCACAGGTCTGGCTGTGACAGCCCCATCAGCCCTGTGTGCCTGACACAGCCCTCAGACCTCGAGCCCGCGGGCTGTGGGCCGGGTTCAGGCGCAGGCAGGCTCCTCAGCCTCCAGGCCTGTGGGCGCCAGGCGGAGGGCGCCCACTACCCTGGAACCATCATGAGGCCCCAACTTACATGGCAGCAGATCGCCAAGGACCTGCCCAGCCTCAAACCCCAACAGCTCAATAAGAAACAGGGCCCCGCTGGATGCCCAGCCCAGCCCAGGAGGATGCTGCATGTGGGCAAAACCCCGGGTTGTCCTGGTCATATCCACAGCCGAGTCCTTCCCCAGAGCTGCCCCATGCAGGAGGCCGGCCACCTGTGGGACCCACGCGGGCAGGATGGGTCTCCAGCATCCTGTCCATCCGAGTGGGCTCAGAGTGGCCCGGCCTCCGCCAACAGGAGCCTCCTGGCGCCGTGTGCACCCTCAGGGCCATGCCTCCAACACCCTGGATGGCTGCTTCTGTTCCTTCCCACGCAGCGGAAATCACAGCAGCCCCAGCGGCTGCTGCGAGGTGAGTGGGGTGCGGCGGAGGGCAGCCCGCCAGGGCTTCACCCGCAGCAGGGAGTCCCCCAGGCCCGACAGGGCTGCAGAGGCTGCTCTGGGCGCCTGCAGCTGGGGCGGAGAGTGGGCACCTCTTGTTCTCGTTTCACCACAATACAAAGGACCCCCCTCAGATGTTCCCCCACAGGCAGTAAAACCTGTCAAGTCAGGTGCAGGCGTTGCTCCTCCATCGGTAAACGGACACTAGTGAGCTGGCTCCTGCCAGGCCTCCTGCCCCCTCTTTAGGCATGTGGGCACGGGGTAGGGCGCTGCTCACGAGGGCACCTTCAGGGGGCCCTCAGCATGGCGGACTTGGAGTCATTCTTCCATGGGGGAACTGAGGGCTCGGCCAGTGAGCCAGGTGGGCGCCTGGAGCCTTCCTTACTGGTACTGGCAGGAGGGCATAGACCCCACCTCCTAATGCGGGAGTTAGCAAGAGTGCAGCCTTCATAAAGTGAGACCCCAGACCTGCGGACAGAGCCAGGGTGGGGACTGCGTGCCCAGTCCTCCTCCCGTCCGCAGGTGGAGCGCCCTGCCGCCCTCTCCCTCCAGCTACGCACGCCCCTCCTTCAGCCCTGCTCTCCAAGGACGTTTCTCATCCCAGCCTGTCAGGACCGCCGTCCATGTGAAGCCAGAGCCCCTCATCCCAGGGGAGATGCCAAGGGTCAGACTGAAGATGACCAGGAGGGACAGGGCTGTGGTTCAGAGCTCCTGACCCTGTGGGGAGGCTTTTTCTGGGCCGGGGGCAGCCCCTGTGAGAAGTCACCAGGCCCTCATGGGCTGGGTGGGGCCCAAGCTGAGCTCCCACGACCTTGTCGGCTGCCGCCTGCCCGGGGCCCCACCAAGGACTCACTGCAGGAGGGGAGAAGCGGCTC